ACTGCAAATATTCATAGGTCAGATTGCTTGTGATTCTTAACATCTGCACTGTGCAGCTCTGCAGCAAACATGTCTGATATTTGCTACTATTGCAAAACGGAAATTCCAATGCAAATTATATGTTCTCTGTACATTTTATTAGTTAACGTCAGTATTTTTCCAACTGAATCTGTCAACCTTGTATGAACACTACTTATACTTTGGACCATACCAGTGTTTCAGCGTGTTTTACAACATGTATACATTACACAGGTGCACGACATTTTCCAAAGCATACCTACCTTCTAAGATTAAACCAGTTTTCCCGAACCTCTAGGCAGCCACTGGTTTCAATTTCTTGCAGTACGCTGTAAAACTCTGCAGACAGTTGGAAATCCATCACACTTAACAATATCCTTTTATTGTTGTCAAACTTACAGTATTTTGTGTGTTGAAGCAGTTGTAAATACAAGGTATTTTGAAAAGTATCCACTGTATCACTACATTACAAGCAAAAATAACAACAGAAATAATGTTCATTGTGATGGATTATCTATCTGCAGCAGATTCTTAGTAAGGTTATTTTCCAAAGATAATATCTGAAACTGATGGCTCCTATGAAGGTATGAAAGAAAAAGGCATTAAACACTTATAGATATGAAAAATTAATCAAAACAAACAGACCCTACATTATGCATTGGAAATCAGCCAGTCCTGATATAAATCATCTAGGATTTGGATGTAAAAGCATGTTAGGATCTGCTTACATTTTTCATCTAAATGCAAAAACTCTTTCAACAGCTCTCAGCAGTCAGTTTCCATGCATGCGTATTATATGATCTTGGTGCAAAATTCTGACTAATTAGCGTAGCTGTTATGTGGCTGAAAATCATAACTAGATCAGACCCAAAATCAGACACCCAAAACAAAAATGAGTGCTGGGGAATGGCAGTTGCTTATTTTATCCCATCTAGTGTGTCACAGACGACTGAAGCGTCATCTGGGATGCCTCACGACATCCCGACATAAAGACTAGTGATGGAGACTTTTGTTGCCTTCCCTCACCGAGTTTGAGAACTTCTATGTGTCGGGTGACGATCACCAATGACCAAAAGCATATGCATGCCCTCTTTCTACCGACTGAAGAGAGGCCGCCGTCACCATCCTGCCAAGAATGGTTCTCTCTTTCGTTGAGAAAGCCCTGTTAACATACAGTAGGTGGAACAGTTAATTTGGTCACTGGCACCGTCATCATCTCTGCATGTCTGTGAAGTTTCTCAGGCATCCAGCTCATATTTATCCATCCATAGTTAAACTAGGGGAACTGGACTGGTTAAGGTTACTTCTTCAGTTCTGACTAAATGGTAGGAAACCCAGCTATGTAACCTCGATTGGGAAAACAGATCCATTGATACATCGACTCTTTATCAAACTTCATAGTTCGAAGGTCAACAGACACCGTGACCTGCACACAGAACAAAGTGTGGATGAACACATGGTCACTAGAAACAACTCAGCTTTCAACCAAACGATTCATCACCTTTAACTGATCATTTCCAGGAACAGCAACACTGTGTATGTAAACATTCTCACTCATTCAGTTTCAGTCCCAGTAAGACCTTTATTTATCCCAGCATGCATTGGGCAGAAGTCAGGATATCACTCCGGCGTAATACACTGGAAGTGTTATTAAATGAATATAGACAATTTATAGAGGCCAAACATTTGCGTGTGGGAGGAAAAGCAGATGTCTCCAGACCATATTTGCCAGTCCTCCAGATTTTCACACATTTTTGTTATGTAAATGTAAATGCTCTGTTTTTGTATAGCGCCTTTCTAGTCTTTGCAACAACTCAAAGCGCTTTTGACTCTACATCGCATTTACCCATTCACACCAAGGACACTTCGACATGCCGCCCGGAGGAGGCGGGGATTGCACCGCCGATCTTCTGATTAGTAGGCAACCCGCTCTATCTCCTGAGCCACAGCCGTCCCACAACCTGCTGAGTTTGTTATCACAACCTTTTCTGGCACTGTACAGCATGTATCAGCCCCATGAGTCAAAGTCTACTGTTCTACCACCCGGACGACAATACAGCTGCACCAAATGTTGTTTCCTGCCATGCACGTGACACGGAGAAGAAATTAATGAATGAAAACTGATATTAATGACGAATATTAGTTTATATCAGAGAGTCACAAAGTTCATGTCTGAGGAGTGAATTCTTGAGGGTTCCTTCCTAAGAATTAAAAGTAAAATTTTACTAAAAGTGGACTTATTATTTAGTTATTTATTTAAATGTTACCAGAATTCAGAAAACATCCAGGCCTTCATATCCTCCCGGTTTGTGAGGTCTCAAGGTTGGTAATCATGCTCCAGACAGAGTTCTGCACACCTGACCTGCCGTCGGGCGAAGTTATCGTTGAAACTGGGAGATGAATTTCTTTCATATAACTTGGCCTTTTAACATGCACATGTTTTTACTTATATTGTGAGTATATATTTACTTGTGTACCAAGTTGTTCCTGACAGTCACTTTTGTTCTGATTTCACAAAACACCCACATATACAAAGATCCTGGTAGACATCAAACTCAGGGAAGTCTCCAAGTCAGGGTTTCCATATTTGGGGCACTCTGGAAAAGAGGAGGTTTTTTACATTTACTTACAACTGCTATACATGTCAGAGGTCGCACGCCTCTGGACACAATGGTGGATGGTCACAGTGGGGGATTGAACCTGGGTCTCTCACACCAAAGGCAGGCATCTTATCCATTGCGCCATCACCCCAAATGCAACACATCTAAAAACACCCACAAAGTTTTGGTTCGGGCTGCTCAACACTGACCCTGTAAGTGTAGCGAACGTTTGCTGGTGAAATGGAAACCATAGGCGTGGCCTTTGACCGTCAAACCAAAAATTAGCAAAGTAGTTTGCCAGACTGTTCTTGTGCCTTCATGTTTCTGAAGATCTTACGTTGCTTGCAAGTATGTGTTGAACCTACTCTCAACTTGCCTTGCTCATGAGCACGTAAACACCTGTTATTGTTTAAAGCCTGATGGTTTTACGACTGTGTTTATTTTTCTGCGCTTGTAAAGCACACTGTAACATGGATTTTGAAAAGTGCTCTATAAATAAAGATTATTATATCTATTATTCTATCAGAAGAGAGCGCCCGTATGCAGTCAGGTCACTGTCCAACCACAGTAGCTCTGTGCTTCTTTTAAACTCCGGCTGCTTGTGATCATAAGGTTCATAGAAAGTGACATTTTTCATCTGTTGCACCTACCTTCAGTCACTCTGAATAAAGCTCTCTGTTAAATGTTAAAACTCTGACTCAGAGTGGAAGCCAGGTTGCATCCTGGATCTTTTCTTGCTCCGGGCGACTGATCTTTTCTGATCTTCATCATCACTTTGATTCAAAACCTCCCAAAAGAACTAAACCTCAGAGCGTAATAATTCAGGGGGAAATGTAGCCCTAACGTCTCGAAGCAGTCTGCATTTCATCCCTGTTGTGTTTTATTTTCTGGCCTGCAGGGAAAAACAAAGTTAAAGCAGTTTTGGGGATGGAAATTAGAGGACAGCTGTTAAAAGTGAACTTGGTGGCACCGATTGACTGTGTTTAGTTTTTTGGAGTTTGACGAGTTTGACGTGTTCAATGATAATGACTCAACTGGCCATAAAATTGGTTGAAGTTTAAAAAAAAAAAGCTTTTTAAATTGTTCACATTCAGGCAGGGTTAAAGGACTACAAAACATGGCAGACATGAAAATAAAAACCAGCCAAAGACCTCTGAAAAGTATGTGTGGTGCTAACTATCAAGCGTTATCATAATCGGTGGCTCAGTTTAAACTCAGTTTCATCCTTCCTTGTACGGAGATGTTTATAAGAACTACAACATGTTAACTACAACATAAGATCATTATAAAGTGGAAGGTTAAAGTTTTTAAAGGGGGGTCTTGAATATGAAAAATCTGAGAGTGCTGGGATGTATGTTTGTGTTAATTTTTGAAATATATTTTGGTCAGTTGTTAATTTTAAATGGAATCTTTTGTGTTCTGTCTGCCTTTACTTTCTGTTACACTTGACAGTATGCAGATCTACATTATAAAGAGGGAGTTATTTAAGCTTCTTTATCAAGACAACCATAAAAGAAATGAACACATGCTGACATGGCACAGTAATAATAAGTTTGTTAGTTTATGAGTGGTACATATTAACAGCTGCATTAGCTTTTTTTAATCATATTTTCTGTCTAGCATGCATGAAGGATATTTCTCCTGAGGTTGTCAGTCCAACCTCCAATAACCGTTAAACAAATAGTCGTGTGAATTAGCACTGAGGAGAGCAGCCGTCATTCTTGGATGTGTAGAGAATCCTGATCATCTCTGCTCCTTCCTCCCATCCAATCAGCTGTTTCTCTTCTCAGCCGTCCTTCCTTCACTTGATTGGCTGCCCTCATTAGATCACTGTGAATCATCACACTCACACAGAGCTATCTTTCACGCATCAGGCCAAACTACAATAAAGCCCCTCAAGTCAAGCCCCCCCCTCCTCGTGACACTCTCCATTAAGATTGGTATGGAAGAAGTTTATTTTGCCTTATTTGGCAAATAAAAAGTTTTCTCACACAGTGAACACTAGGAGAGACAGCATATGGATAAATTGTTCAATATTACGAGAAATTCAAAAATGACTGTGGGGTCTATTGTAACAAACAGACAACAGCCTTTGTTCTGCATGAAGAAAGAAACTAGAGACTTTTGACGTGTCAGTAGCCATCTCAGCTCAACGGATTTTACTGAAACGGCTGCAAACCCGACGGTTTTTTATCTTCCCCAAACCAGATCTGAAGTGTTCACACTCAGTTTCTCAGTGGTCGACATTCCTCAGAAGCATCCGTTATGGTTTTTCATCCTTCTGGTTGAAGTTCCCACTTCTTTGCAACATGGCCGCGTTGTGATTGATAAGTGGCGCCCAACAACAACTCCTTTCCCACAGGTATTGAATTGTTGTTGGGAGGGAGCAAGATGGCGCCTGTAACTGGCAGAGCCGCGGCTCGTTTCCTGCTGTGTAAATTATTAATGCTCTGTTTCTCAGTGTACGTGATCATCTCAGCCTGCATAACAGATGGATGTGTTCTGGCTGTATGGACTTATGACCGGGACTCTTTGTTTCACATCAGAGAGTCGATGGAGGTCCTGTTTGATAATTACGACAGGTTCAAACAGGCATTTCCTCCTCCATTTGCTATCGATCCTGACTCTCCTGACTACTTGCTACTATACCGGGCTCCGGGTAGGGTCCGTAGGAGATTCAGGAAAAGAGGCTTGCGGTCCGGTGTCCAGGTCAGGCGTAGGCGTGCCGCAGCGCGCGGTGGCTTTGTTGTCTTCGGCCGCCGGGACCGCATTCAGTGCCTGCGGCGGATTCCTCTTCACGATGTGTGCGGCAGCGTAGCTTCGCCGCCGCCTGTTCGGATTTCAACGGGTGTCCTGGATCCTTCACAGCGCTGGAGTGGTGGTCCGAGACTTTCGCCGCAAATGTTTACTTCCGTGTTTGTGCCGGCTCTTTCCAAATGGACCGGCAAAAGACCATGTGACCGCTGGTCGTGCCTGCAACCAATCCCGTTGCAAAGCAGGGACACTGCCTCCGTGACGTTCTCCAAAATGCATTTCGGCCTGTTGAATGCTCGTTCTATTGCGAATAAATCGCATTCATTAAACGATCTTTTCACAAGGGAAGGCCTGGATATTATGTGTTTGTCAGAGACATGGCAGAGAGAGGACGAGCTTATTCATTTAAATGAGCTCTGCCCAGTGGGTTGCTCTGCTATTGGGAGGCCCCGCCCCTCTCGTCGCGGTGGTGGACTGGCTATTGTGCACAAGGATTTCCACAAATGTAATGAAATTTTGCCTCAAAAATTTTCTTCTTTTGAATTGCAGATGGTAAAGGTGGGTTTTTTATCCCCCTTCTACTGTATTCTGGTCTATCGACCTCCAGGCCCTGCTGCTGTCTTTCTAAAGGATTTTAGTGAATTCTTATCCTCTATAATTAAGCTGGAATCTGTCTTAATCCTTGGGGATTTTAATCTTCATGTAGATGACAACTCATCTTGCCCCGCAATGGAATTTTTAACATTGACTGAAACTTTTAATTTTAATCAGCATGTATCTGAGCCCACTCACCAAAAAGGCCATATTTTAGACTTGGTTTTTACACTTGGCCTAGATATATTAAACGTATCTGTAAATGATGTCTATATGAGCGACCATAATATTGTTCTGTTTGATCTTCACTTCAGTTCTGACCCAAAGCTTCCAGTAGTTAGGTCTCAGAGACGTGTTATCACGGCAAATACTGCAGATACTTTCTCTGATTTGTTTGATCCTGCTCTAGTTATGGATTGCCCTGATGTGGATGATTTTGTTCACTGTTTAAACAATCACTGTGAAAAGATTCTGGATCAGGTGGCCCCTGTTAATTCAAACTTGCCTACTCGGGAAAAAATGTGGCCTTGGATTAATGAAGAGATTTTAAAACTTAAGAGAATGTGTCGAAAGACTGAACGCCTGTGGAAATCCACTAGCCTTGAGGTACACAGGCTTTATCTCAGAGAACTTGTGTTGTCCTATAATGTGACGGTTGGAAAAGCCAGATCTGACTATTTCCGTCAACTAATAACATTAAAAAAAAAAATCCTAAAGTGCTGTTTGATACGATCAATACACTTGTTTGCCCTGCTGCCCCAGTTATCCCTGTTTTTTGTGAAGCTGACAGCAATGCTTTTTTGGGTTTTTTCACTAATAAAATTAAAATGATTAAAGATAAAATCCCGTTACATTCGTGTGGTACCACTGCTGTCTTTAAGCCAGTCTCCAGCATGTGGTCCACTTTTAGGACTGTGACGATTTCAGATATTTCTGAATTGGTGACCAGGATGAAGCCATCTTCCTGTTCATCGGATGTCATTCCATTCAGATTATTCAAAAAAGTGTTTGAAGATATTGGCGCTTGTGTAACCAAAATGGTTAACCTCTCGCTGTCTACTGGCGTTTTTCCAGATGCTTTTAAGCATGCTATAGTGGAACCGTTAATAAAAAAGGCAGGTTTGGACCCGTCGGATTTGAATAGTTTTCGGCCTATTTCTAAGCTCCCGTTTTTATCCAAGATCATTGAGAAGGTAGTCTGCGAACAGTTGACATTTTACCTGGATAATAGTAACATCCATGAGCCATTCCAGTCAGGTTTTCGTAAACAACACTCTACCGAAACGGCCTTACTGAAAGTGTCAAATGACATTATGATGTCTGCTGATTCTGGAAAACACACTGTTCTAGTTCTCTTGGATCTGTCTTCCGCCTTTGACACCGTCGACCATCAGGTTTTGCTGGAAAGATTAAGGGATCAAGTAGGGCTGTCAGGGTCAGTTCTGCAGTGGTTCACCTCATATTTATCTGGGCGTAGTTTTAGTGTTACAGCAAACCAAATAAGGTCTGAGTCTGCAGACTTGCTTTGTGGAGTGCCTCAAGGCTCTGTTCTGGGCCCCGTTTTATTTTTGTTGTATTTGATCCCTTTGGGAAAGATCATACAAAGGTTCAATGATGTTTCTTTTCATCTATTTGCTGATGATATCCAACTTTACTGCTGCTTCAAGCCGTCAGAGATCTGGAAGTTAAATTCCTTGCTCCATTGTCTTGTGGAAATTAAAAAATGGCTAAGTGAAAACTCCCTGCAGCTAAATGCAGACAAAACAGAAACATTAATCATTGCCCCTGAGGATGCAATTCCAGGAATTAAACAATACTTGGGTGATTTAGGCCAGTCTGCTAAGCAAAGTCTTAGAAATTTGGGAGTTGTCCTGGACAAAGACATGTCGTTAGTGCAGCACTGCAAGCAGCTGACGAGAAACTGCTTCTTTCAATTAAGGAAAATCTCAAAACTTAGAAATATAGTTTCAAGAAATGATTTGGAGCTAATCATTCACGCCTTTGTGTCGTCGCGGTTAGACTATTGTAATAGTTTATTTTTATGCCTAAACCAGAAGGAGCTCTCTCGACTGCAATTAGTACAAAACTCTGCAGCCAGAATTTTAACACGTACTAATAGGAGGTCTCACATATCACCAATCCTAAAAGAACTTCATTGGCTACCAGTGTCTTATAGGATAAATTTTAAAATTTTGGTTTTAGTTTTCAGAGCTTTACATGGCCAGGCTCCACCCTATATTAGTGACCTGATTCAGCGTTATACCCCTGTGCGTGCTCTGAGGTCTGTGGATCAGAACCTGCTGACGGTTCCACGCACTCGCTACCGTACTAGAGGTGACCGATCTTTTCAGGCTGTTGCCCCTAGGTTGTGGAATGACCTTCCACCATCTATGCGCTCTTCTGATTCTGTTGATGCCTTCAAATGCAGACTAAAGACACATTTATTTGTTCAGGCTTTCAATTAGCTACTTGTGGGTTGATATGATCATGTACTGTCTATGCTTTTATTGTGTGTATTTTATGATATTAATGTTTTTGTTGTGAAGCACTTTGTGGCCCTATACCTGTGAAAGGTGCTATAGAAATAAACTTTTACTTACTTACTTACTTATTGATTGGAGGAGGATGGCTACAGACTGAAAGCTCTTTTTAGTTCACAAGACAGATGTTCTAATTAGAAAATGGACTGAAAACACTGGTGTCTGTAGACGTCTGTAATCTTTCACACAAAGAGCATGCTGAATCACTGATCTATCCCCAGCAATAGTTTAGATCCCAAAATTACTGTTGTCCGTCAGTGTCCACCACGAGTCGCGCCACCCTGACCAGGAGCCTGTACCACAAAGCGAGTTCACCATACCCAGGATATCTTTTCGTTATCTGGCTTAACTAACCCTAACCATTACGATAAGCGGTGTTCTTATGGCGTGTATGCAAATTTTAGCCTTACTCTTTCAGCTCGGCTGTGTGTCAGCGTTTCCACGTTAAAAGACTCAGGCCTAAAGGCACTAAAGGCTCGTGCAGACTACATGACTGTCAGCGTCGGCTGACGGCCGTGCCGTTCACACTACACGACTTCCCGTCTTGTGACGGGAGTCTTGAAGTTGTTGTGGCGTCCACACTACGTGACTGATCGGTGACAGGGGGTCACACACTAGCTGAGCTGACAGCGGCTGTGTCACCCGACGCTGGTCTCAAACCACGTTCTGTCAAGAAAACACGTGAAATGTGAAACGGGAAATGAGTGACCCTGCACATGAAACAGCTGTTTGTTATTATAAAGACTGAAATTATAAAGACAAAGAATCTGGGTGAAAGACTGGATTAGCACATGCAGGTAGGAGGGATTGTCTGAGCTACAGAGAGCTGGAGGGGAGTAAAAAGTGTTTTGCAGAGAAAAAGTAGCCGCCTGCTCTCATTGGCTGGATGTGGATGTCGAGTCTGATCACAGCCTGATGGTTGCCGGGCTCGCCGAGCGGCAAACAGCGCTAGAAATCAAGTAATGTGAACTAGGCTTAAGTAGTTGTTCCACCTCACTGTGACTAACTTATTGTCACTTCAGAAATGAGATTAATTACAGCCTCAAAATGGTTCCAAACATTGTTCCAAATAAAATGTGCTCAAATAGTGGTGAAAACCTGAATCTCAACATTTAGGCTGCTGAAAACTCCCCTCATTACCTGCGCCCACATCGAAGTATGTGGGGCGGAACATGACAAGTCTCTGTGATAGCCTATAAGATAACTACCAACCTAAAACAAATAGCCTACGTTCATATTAAAATTAATTTCAATATAATATAATAACGGCTCATAATATTCAGCCTCACATAGAAAAATGAAATCCATTAATTTTAAGGGAACTGGGGAGCAAATAAAAAACATGAGACACATTTCAAAGCAGTGAGTAGTCTGACTGTAAAGGCTTTCGATCAGTCTCTGCAGGATGATATCACTATACAGAAGTTTCTCCACATCACCGCAGCAAACATAAAGCAGCCTATAAAACAGTCTGTGGGATCTCCTGCAGATGGTGATGTCATTTTCCAAGGCGGCGCTTTCATAGAGTTGATCTGGAACATAACCTGCTCCGGAGCCGTTCAGCATAAGTTACCATGGAGATCTACCCCGGTAAGAAGTGAACCAGTGTCGTGGTGCTGAAAACCCAGGGTTAACCCCGAAGTTACCTGGATAAGCTCAGATCCTGCTTCGAGGTCCCCTGGTCTCTCAAGTGAGACTGGCTTTGCGGTTTCTTGCTAACTTGTGAGAAGCTGCAGCTACATCTGGTTGTAAGAAGCGCCAAAGCTCAACTATGCAATATGCATAAAGGCTACATGAGAAAGACACCATCCTTACACTAACAGCTCATGTGTTTCGCCATTAGTTTGCTTATTTAGTAGGTTACCGTGTGCAACAGTATGATGTCACAGATGCTGCGTTTGATATATTTTAATATTAGTCCCATTGGCTCTAGAGTGTGTGTGTTTGGCAATTAGGCTAATTTGGTGATATGCTCAGTAAGGGTGGCAGAACTTTGTTTTTCAATTATGAACATTTGCTTGTTTAGATGTTCTATCAAGGACAGAAAGCTAAACTAATGTTTGTTCACATAACTGTGTAATTACAGTCTCAAGAACATGTTGACAGAGAAAAAACAACCTTCCATTAGGGGTGTGTTGGCTAATATATTTTGAAAAAAAGACTGACATCACATGATTTTCATGAATGCCAGAAGCCTCAGCTTCCAGGGACTTCCTGCAGACCGCTAGTAACAATGTCAAAATCAAACCTACGCCCTTGCTTTCCAGAGCTGATTATATTCAAAACATTAAGTCTCGGTGAATATATCCCATCAGCTGGAGAGAATCTGATGAAAGTTCTCTCAGAAACGCTATGTTTCCACTTCTTTTCATGCAATTTTTTGAAGTTTGAATGATTTATTTCTGGACTTGAGGAAATCCCTCCTAATTGAAGGAGGAAACGCAGCTGCCATCTAATTGAAAGCAGCACGTCTGACTTGGTTGCTTAAACCCAACTTCTTTCTGCTGTCCTCCAGAGTGTGGAAGTGCCTTGATGTGTGTTCTGTACTCTTGCATTTGCTGTTACGCATCCGTTTGAGCATATAGAGCAACCGTGAACACTAATGAAGAAGATTCCCTGAACCGTGACGCAGAAATCAAATAGAAAGTAGAAAAATATTTGATGTAGTGGGAGGCGCTTCCCTGACAGCTCCGTTCATTTATCACTAGACTGTTGGAAAGGACGTTTTAATTACCTGCACACATCCTGGAGAGGAAGATTAGTGAAATTAGAGAGGGAGAGAGGAAAATAGAAAGAGGCGAAGAAAGAGCGAGTGAGAGGGAAAAACAACAGTTACACAGAAGGAAAAAGAGAAGGGAGAAAGACGACGGTGTGTGTTGTGAGGATAATTGAGCCTTTTCATCCACATCGCCAATGACAGATGTGACATTTAGCTTTGGGAACACACACTTTCTGCTGTGTGTGTGTGTGGATTTCTCTCTCTACACACACACCTGGTCTAACCTTTTACAGTCTGGTAACTAATGGGCAGGAAACAAAGATGAAGGAAAGCACCGCAACACACACATATCTATGAAGACCTAATCTGACCTGAAGCTGCATCACGAAAGATTTTGGACAAAAAGGAGACAAACCACCTCCATCATACACAGAGAACAAGGCTGTTCATTTAGTTGTTTCTTATTATTTGATATCTGGGTAATAAAGCACTTCAAAGCTTCACATATTCTGTTATTTCTCTCTTATTTTAAACTCTGTGAAGCCAGTTCACTGTGTGAAGTCCTGCATCGCAGCTGTAAGCCAAGTCCTGAGCCCAAAACAGGTCTGAAAGTGCAGAGTGTGTGATCAGAGACTCAGGTGTGCCAGGACCGTCAAAGGGTAGTAGTCCATACAGTGAAAAGATAAATCCAAAAAGGGTAGAAACAGTCCAAGCATCCAACACGATCCCAAAAAAAAACCACACTCGACATGAAACGATGAAGACGCGATCATGACTGTAAACACGAGCAGGGAGGATGTGCACGGACAGGTGAGACACATTAGGGATAATTGGAACAACACAGGACACAGAGTTAAACACTGTTGAAGAAATACTGTGAGCCAGGTTCATGATGACATAACATAACGCGGTTTATTGAGCCCGGCCGAGGTGAGAGTGCCGGCATACAGCAGGTCAACACGTCAAATGCCAACACCAAATCTGAAGGATAACATATTTTGGTCCCTTTATGTTTCTGTCTTCCCCCTTGTGCCTGTAGGTTCCTTCCTAAGTCATCTTTAGCTGGCCTTAACCTGGAACAACTAATCTATCGATGTTTAGACTCCAAAGCTTCATCATATTGGAATCTAATCTCTCCATGAGTTGAACTGTGGGAAATGAACATTCTTCATCGATCAAATATCCTATTTTAGATTCATTCAATTAAAACTCTTATCTAATGGTGAACAACTGGGTGATAACCTTCGTTAATAGAATCTGAACTTTATATTGCAGGAGGAAACGAGAGTAGAGTTTGATTCTGATCAAGGGAAATAGTTTCTGGGTTCAAGGGTTGTTTAACCCTAATGTCTTTTTTTTTTAACTTCCTTTAATAAAAGCAGGTACCCGGGTGTCTATCATTAATTTTAATATTCAAGACAGGTCTAGCTTTAGAGTCATTAGCTGACCCCACAAGTGTTCACTGACCTTCCAGCTCTAGTTATTTCTCACATGTAACGGTCCTTGTTAGGGAGGCAACAGTTAGACTGATGAGGTAGAGACGGCAGCTCAGGCGTCAGGCTGGCAGATGACAGTGTTCTCTGGGAATCTTACAAGGTTGATCTTACAAGAATGTTTACAACTCACTGTCACCACAGATTAGAGCACAGTACAGTTATAAGACTTTGAGGTATCTTTTCTTCTGGTTAATTGACATGTCACGTGTCTGTTCGCTAGTGTATGTGAGAGATTTGTGATGCTTGGTGCAAGAATATTCTTTAACAAACACAGGCCCAAGAGACAGCCAATTTCAAAATAAAACAAGAAAAGGACATAAGGTAGATCAAAACAGTGACTCTGTGATCTTTTAATTCACTCTAGATGTAAAAACACACTGTCAAAAATTCATTGCTATGAAAGCAGCGAAAATACTGCAGTGGGTCACGACACGGGGAAGCGTTGGAGGTGCAACAACCTCAATCACTAATCATACGGCCTTTAAATTGTAAATAGCAAAAAGTGGTCATCACAAGTCCAAGGTGATGTCTTCATAATACTTTGTTTTGTTCAACTAACAGTCTAAAACCCAAATATATTAAACTTACAATAATATAAAGCAACAAAAGTAGCTGGTCCTCACATTTGAGAAGCTGGAACCAGATAATGTTTGGCATATGTGCTTCAATAATGACTTTAAGGGGCGCATCCCATAAAGCTGGAGGACTCACAAGAGAAGGATTTTAAAAAAGGAATGGTGAAAATTAAAGCAGCAGAGGCTTGAATCTTTCAGTCACTGGTGTAGCTCCAAAAAACATTGAGTCCTTCATTTCTCACTTTGCAGCTTGAATCTTTCAAACTCCCCTGCACATCGAGTTTCTAACAGAGTTATTTTCTCAGACTTGCAATGACAAGTAAACCCAGCGTCAAGCGTAAAATCAGTGAAGTAACCCTTTCAATAGTTAATTGATTGCCAGGGTTGTTGCTTGTTAGTTGTGTCAGTCAACTGATTCATTCTTTCATATAGAAACTGCACTGAGCTCCAGAACATGTAAGCAATATTAATGCAAATTATCTGTGCATGTTAACACAATTCCTGTCAAGACAACAGAGCATCTTTGTGGATGTGATGACACGCTGTATGATTTATGATGAAACCACCTCAGCCCCCCCCCCCCCGTTTCTCTGACTCCAATATACATGCAGCTCCTCTCTGTGTTATCTGTATCCTCTCCACACCTCAGCAGACTACCCGCACATCAACAGGTCCGATACTAACAAGGCAGATGTATAATTTAACGGCCGGGGTTCTCTT